GGGGGAGTTGACCGATATTTTCCTGACCTAGAACTGATGCAAATGTTAAGATTTGCAAAGTTGGATTTATCCTTTGGAGTAAAATATATATATATTTTTTTGAAGGAGTGAATAGATATTGCACATGTCCGAACTCGATCTAAGTTTGACAAAAATATTACGATTTACCAAGTTTGGATCAAATCGGATACTCCCTTCGAGAGATATCGCGCGCACTAGCCAGCCAGACACACAGACGGACGGACATCTCTAGATCTACTCCAAATGTCCTAAAACGGATTTGGTCCAAAGAGACCTAGGGTCTTAAACCGTTATTTCGATGAAGCACGTTTTGGCCGTATCGAATGATACATATCCGCTCTAGCCATATGGCAGAGGGTATAAAGTAACAAAAAATAAAGGTAGAAAATAATCAATAGCATTAGTCACAAGCTGGCAAAGGGTTAAACCTAATATTTATTTTCCGGTTGTCGAGCACTCTTAATGTGAGAATACATAAAGCTCTTATTGGGCCGGCTTAAGTCATCGGCTGGCTTCTTCGGAAATGAACAAAGGAGCCCTGGGTCAAAATCGAACTAAGTCAACTTAAAACTCCTTTGTTCCTCTACAAAGAAGCCAGCCAGCAAAATAAGTGCTTTGTGTATTCCCACCTTTAGTTGCCTGCAATAGAATTTCATACGCTAGACGATAGGCGATTCTGTTGATGTTTATGACAAAAGGTCGTTGATTTTGAAAAGATGCGCTATTACAAAAGAGGGCAACAAAGAACAAAGTTAAAAAAATGGCCAGACAAAATATCAAAAATTCTCCAGCAAATAAATCTTGTTTTAAACTTAAACAGACTTTTTGTCGAGACAGACCAACAAACAAGTGCAGCATCTCCATCATCATCATCATCATCACCACAGCCACCACAATCAATTTCCATCACCTTCTACCGAAAGGTATAAACTCTCCCTCCTAGCAAATGGCTTGGCAATAAACCATAACAATAAAAAGAAATGAAATGGATATTGACTTGAGAGGATTCTTTGTTTGGGCGCCATTGTTTGGCAACAAAGAAAGAGAGAAAACTTTGTTTGAAGTCAAGGCTGCAAACATAATTTTGAAATTAAACTTTACAATGTTGGGAAGAAATGGTTGATAATAAAAAAATATTGAACTGGGAGTTCCGCTTAATGAAACTCATATTAGAATAAAACTCTATGAAAGCTAAGCAAAGATGTTGAAGAGAAAATCGGCGATTCCGCACCATATATTGTTCAGGTGATCAGAATAATCATTCAGGTGATCAAAATGGGTAAAAATGTTAGGTTTGATTTTACTTTAGACTCTCGCCGCAACTGTAAATTAGGGTTAACAATTTAAAGCTCGATGCAAGAATAAAAATGAAAGCGCGTAAGGCGATATATTTGCTATCAAAATAATTGCAAAGCATTTCTTTAACTTATTAACAGAGATGTAACTATTTCGCCCAAAGGCAATAATAGAATAATAATAAAGAAAATAAATATGATTTAATTTTTATACCCTCAGCCATATGGCCATATCATTTGATATGGCCAAAACGTGCTTCATTGAAATAAAGGTTTTAGACTCTAGATCTCTTTGGACCAAATCCGTTTCAGGACATTTGGAGACGATCTAGCGATGTCCGTCTATCTGTCTGGCTGGTGCGCACTATAATTCTCGAAGAGATTATCCGATTTGTTCAAAACTTGCTACATCTTAATATTATTAGCAAACTTAAATCGAGTTCGGAGATGGGCAATATCGGTCCACTTCTTCAAGTACCTCACCGACAATATGTCGAAATTTAAAAAAAAAAAATTGGTGCACATAAAGAGAAAGGATAATCTGATTTTGCTCCAACTTTGCAAAGCCTAATATATATATCAGTGCTAGGCTAGGTGCGAAAATGGTCAATATCGGCACACTCCATCAAGTATCTCCCCCACAAAGTGTCAAAATTTTGAATAATTATAAGTCTTATAAAATGTGATGTAAAAGTCCGATTGTCTTCAAATTACTTACGTCACAATTTTTTTCATTAACCCAAGGTGTGGTGTAAAGATGGAATATATTGGTCCACTCTTTCTGGTACCTCCCCCAAAAAGGGTCAGCATTTTGATTAACCACGAAACCCATAAAACAAAACAAATTGACACCCGGTTCCATTCAGACTTGGTACATCTCAATATTTCCATCAACTCAACATCTGTTATAAAGATCGTAGAGATCGGACCATGCCTTCCGGTATATCCCCCACAAAGGGTCAAAGCTTTGAATAACCAAAACGCATAAATCGAAATAACCAATCAAAGAAACATTTTTGCCAAAACAAGGTACCTTACCACACAAAGTGTCACAATTTTTTATCTCTCATAACTTTCGAAACAAGTCAGCGATTCTGGATATAAATGTTTTTTTTTCTTTTTTTAATTTTTATATACCATATATACAGGGTGAGATAAAAAAGCTGCAACAAAGTCAAACGCCATAATTTTTACATTTTGTTTTTTTTTTAATTTTATTGAATGAAAGCAAAAATTGTCGGAAATAGCATCAAATCTTAGAATAAGCTTAGATTTGTTCGAATTGGTCAGCTTTGGCACGAATTATGGCCTTCAAATGGTCAATGAAACCGTCACATGCTGCCCGAATGTTGGTTGCTCTGCGGTATTTTGTCCATTCCCGGCGAAGTGCTTGCTTGAGGTGATCGACACTTGCTTTCCAAAATACTCCAGACACAATAGTCCAACGGATTGGTATCCGAAGATTTTGGTGGCCATTGTGCACTGAAAACGAAGCAAGGAACCTCATTTTGTAACCATTCTTGGCTGGCGCGTGCTGAGTGCAATGGTGCTGAGTCCTCTTGGAATGTCCAAGGTCTACGGCCAAAATGTTTGCATGTCCATGTAATTCACCCTCCAGAATATTTTCGCGGCGATATTCGGCATTTATTCAGATGCCACTGTCGATTAATACGAGCGGAGAGCGACCATCGGCTGTTATGGCGGTCCACACCATCACCATGGCCGGCACTTGAGTTCTGGTGGCCAACCGAAGGTGCACATTTACAGCTGACCTCTTTGGCAAGTAAACACGATCATTTTGTTTGTTTACAAACGGTCGTTGCTGGACAACGAATGTTTTCTCACCGGAGAAAATCAAATTCGTCAGTTCACTACTTTCGGCCAAGCGAAGCAACTCTTTAGCTCTTTTGGGTCTAATTTCTTTCTGTTGCGGTGTAACTTCTTGCACTTCAATGGCTTTACCCCGAGCACATTTTTCAATATTTGCCGAATGGAATATTGCGATATGTTCAGCTCACGAGCCATTTTTCGGCCACTGCGACGCGGGTTTTGATCAAGTCACTTCTTTACTTTACGAAGCATTTCTGCTGATGTTGCTGTTTTCTTCCGGTCATTTCCTTGACGTCGGGCTACGCTACCAGTATCAGGGCACGGTAACGAGCGATGGTACGAGACACAAAAATTTATTCACATTTAAATGCTGGAGTGCTCTAGAGTGCGCGATAGCCACTTGTGGTTTTCCAGCCAAACATAAAGAAATCACACTATCACCCTTGAATTCCATCACGAATAACTGTTTTTTTCTGGAAAATTCTCACCAAAATGCTTTTGTACGCTTGTTAACAATATAATGAGCTGTCACTGGAATAATTTTAACCGTCGTCGGACGAGTTGCTTCGAAATGACAGCAGTCTGAAGTTGGTTGCAGTTTTGCAGTCATGCTTGGATTCTATTATGCCTTAAGGCGAGAATACTTATTTGACTGGCTTAAGTCATCAAAGGAGTTTTAGGCTGACTTAGTTCGATTTTGACCCTAAGCACCTTTGTTCTTTTCCGAAGAAGCCATGTCGATTAATACGACCAGTCGAAAAAGCTTTTTATGTATTCTCACCTTTAGAGACTTGGTAATAATATATGGCGCCCAATATCAGCATGGATTTTTATTCAAATCATGGGAAGAATATAAGCACATTGAAACCCCCTATCGCGTTTATCGGCGAAATAATCGAAGATCATTAGAAATCAATACATAGATGGCGCTCTTTAACCATTGTGATCTGCATTTGTGCGACTCAATTTAGAATCATATTCGGATCATCATATTTGGAGAGATTAAGCATAAAGGTGAGAATACATAAAGCGCTTATTCAGCTGACTTAAGTTTTCGGCTGACTTCTTCGTAAAGGAACAAAGGAGTTTTAGGTTGACTTAGTTCGATTTTGGTCCCAGGCTCCTTTGTTCTTTTCCGAAGAAGCCAGCCGATGACTTAAGGCAGCCAAATATGCGCTTTATGTATTTCCACCCTAAGAGCTAAGATAACAGATGGCGCCCAATATCAGAATGGATTTTCATTCGAGTCATGGACAAATCCCACCACATTATAACATTTTTGTGACTGGAATAATTGTTAATATACAGAGGTCGCCCTGTCATCTGTATTTAAATTATGCTCAATATCTTCACAGCATATTGAGCGAATATAATTTTTACGCAACTCTAAATTTGAGTATTTTTTTAGAGACTTTGCAGTGTTTGGACCACCAAAGGGCTAAGTTTGCGGATCTTATTACAAAAAAAAGTTTAAATGAATATTAAATACCGTCGTGTTCTCCAATTTTACAGTACTCTCACATTTCTTAAGTGTCAGCCGCCGTGCACTGAAAATAGTTTCTGTAAACAAACAAAATCGTTGAATAATCAAAACGACGAATGACAAATGTTGTTCATAATAAACAAAAAAAATCTGCTTGTGTTTGCCAATAAGCCAAGAAAAAGTCGGTAGATATGCAGAAAATAATTCTGGGCAAATTTTTACAAATTTGCTGAACAAAGATGCGACACTGCTCCCCACAAAAATCTGTTGCTTCTCTTTTTCCTGAAACTTATGATAATGACTAATATTTTAAATAATTTTTTGCTAATTTGTTTTTATTTTCTCTCTGGCTTTTTTTTTTTTTTTTGTAGGCAAACAAAATCACAATAAACAAAAAAATATATGAACCAACCACTGGCCATTGGAACGGAAATATAGGTGAAAGTCACTGATAATTGAATTGAGTGCGTGTGTGTGTGTTTGTGCTGTTTTTTTTTTATTCACGCCCGTCTGCAGCTGCTCGGCAACGCAGCCACCACTCCATCAAGCTGGCTACCAAAACAGACGCTTTATTCGTATTCAGCAAAGATATGAATAAAGCGGGTAAACATATACAATCGGGCGCCAGTAATGGTCCCTTAATAGCACCCAACTCGCCACTGCTGCAGACATCGATGGGGGGCAGTGGTGGCGGCGGCTCAACAACAGCTTCAAAAAATGTGATCACATCGATAATGAATTTTCTGCCAGATAATCGACCAATCACATCGTTGCACATAGTTGAAGACTATGAAAAGTAAGTAATTAAAAAACAACCCAATGAATTTTAATTAACTTCTATAAATAATTAAAAATAATTATTGGAAATCTTATTGATAACAAGATATTGCATGGAAATTTCTATAGATATGGGGATTTTCTATAGAAATTCAAGGTCATAACGAGATAGCTTATAGAAATCGATAAGATTTTCAATAGAAGATCTCAATGCTAACAAGATTAGCCATTAAAATCGATAACAAGATTTTCTACATATGTCTAGATTGATAGCAAGATTTTCAAAGTAAAACCTCGTCGACAGCAATAATTCATCTCGATAACAAGATTTTCTATAGGCATTCTTGTCGATAACAAGATTTTCTATAGACATTCATGTCGATAACAAGATTTTCTATAGACATTCATGTCGATAACAAGATTTTCTATAGAAATGCATGTCGATAACAGGATTTTCTATAGAAATTCTTGTCGATAACAAGATTTTCTATAGAAATTCATGTCGATAACAAGATTTTCTATAGAAATTCTTGTCGATAACAAGCTTTTCTATAGAAATTCTTGTCGATAACAAGATTTTCTATAGAAATGCTTGTCGATAACAAGATTTTCTATAGAAATTCTTGTTGATAACAAGATTTTCTATAGAAATTCTTTTCGATAACAAGATTTTCTATAGAAATTCTTTTCGATAACAAGATTTTCTATAGAAATTCATTTCGATAACAAGATTTTTTATAGACATTTCTATAGAAATTCTTGTTTATAACAAGTTTTTCTATAGAAATTCTTGTCGATAACAAGTTTTTCTATAGAAATTCTTGTCGATATCAAGTTTTTCTATAGAAATTGTTGTCGATAACAAGATTTTCTATAGAAATTGTTGTTCATAACAAGATTCTCCATAAAAAATCATGTCGATAACAAGATTTTCTATAGAAATTCTTATCGATAACAAGATTTTCTATAGAAATTCTTGTCGATAACAAGATTTTCTATAGAAATTCTTGTCGATAACAAGATTTTCTATAGAAATTCTAACAAGATTTTCTATAGATATTCTTGTCGATAACAAGATTTTCTATAGAAATTCTTGTCGATAACAAGATTTTTTATATGAATTCTTGTCGATAACAAGATTTTCTATAGAAATTCTTGTCAAAAATAAGATGTTCTATAGAAATGTTTGCCGATAACAAGATTTTCCATAAAAATTCTTACCGATAACAAGAATTGCCATAAAAATTCTTACCGATAACAAATTTTTTTATAGAAATTCATGTCGATAACAAGATTTTCTATAGAAACTCTTGCCGATAACAAGCTTTTCTATAGAAATTCTTGTCGATAACAAGCTTTTCTATAGAAATTCTTGTCGATAACAAGCTTTTCTATAGAAATTCTTGTCGATAACAAGCTTTTCTATAGAAATTCTTGTCGATAACAAGCTTTTCTATAGAAATTCTTGTCGATAACAAGATTTTCTATAGAAATTCTGATCGATAATAAGATTTTCTATATAAATTTTTGTCAATAACAAGATTTTCTATAGAATATCTTGGATTTTCTATATGAATTCCTGTCGATAACAAACTGTTCTATAAAAATTCTTAACATTTTCAAAATATTGCATGATCATCTTTGTTGCTGACATTCTTTTTAACATATACTTTATTTATATAATTCTTTCTCTTTTCTTTACAGGTGCCCAAAGAATTTCACACCCATCAGTCGTACTTATGATCAGGATGCCGATGCCGATTTGTGGCGCGAAACAAATTATCTGTTTGGACGTCAAACCACACGTTACTTGTGTTTATCGAAAACCGAGGGATTGCCAGAATACGTTGTGGAAACACTAAAGTATGTAAATAGAAAGCAGCGACGTTATTTACTTCTTTCCTTGTGGTTTTTCCCTTAATTGTTATTATTGCGATTACTGTAGCTGTTGTTTTTGCTTCTGGTGATGTTACCTTGGTCTAAGTTTTCGCAGCCATTGTTCATCTGTTGTGTGTCTTTCATGGGGCTGAGCTACGTAACAACAGTGTTTTATTTTTCACTTCTTTGTTTGCTGAACTTAATTAAGGTCAATCAACTTTTAGTTGCCGGCTAAAGTTTGGGCAGTGGTTGGCTGACGGCTGATAGGGGGTTTTGTGGCTTCAGCATGCTCTTTTTGTTTACTTCACTTATATTCTTTTATCGTTTTTCGTTCTTTTTTCCAAAACCATTTGATTTTCGTTTTGTTTGGAGGAATTACATTCTTATCATATTGCTTGCAAGCCATTATCCTGTCAATTCGATAATAATTTAATGGCTAGCAATAATTATAGTTTAACGTCACAAAAGAGTCACTAACCTAACCTAACTGTTTTCCGGAAGTATACAATTTAATTGTTTACCTTTTTTTGGCGAAACAAACATCTCACTTCCATTATGTTATAAATTTAGCATTAAATCCGATGTACAATAGAAGTGCACTTTATAGGCAACACATCGACCTTAAAAGCTTTACTTGAATTGAAATTTAATTAACTCCTTTCAGGCTATCTTATCTTTGTTTTGTTTTCTCTAGTTATATATTTAGAAACATTTGAGTCAACAGCTACTAATGACAGTGTTATGAATGAATATGTTTGTGCGAATTTAGTTGGCATTGTTTTATTTGATAAGATTTGCTTTAGAAATGTTTGTCAGTGACAAGATTCTTTACAAAGACTCGTGCCGATAACAACAATTTTAGTAAAAGGAACGCAAAATAAAAATATTTTTTGTGGAGATTGTTTCTTATAACAAGATTTTCTATGGAAATTCTTGTCGATAACCAGATTTTCTATAGAAATTCTCATCTATAACAAGATTTTCTATAGCAATTATTGTCGATAACAAGATATTCTATAGCAATTATTGTCGATAACAAGATTTTCTATAGAAATTCTTGTCGATAACCAGATTTTCTATAAAAATTCTTGTCGATAACAAGATTTTCTATAAAAATTCTTGTTGATAACAAAATTTTCTATAGAAATTCTTGCCGAAAACAAATTTTTCTATAGAAATTCTTGCCGAAAACAAAATTTTCTATAGAAATTCTTGTCGATAACACTATTTTCAATTGAAATTCTTGTCGATAACAAGATTTCCTATAAAAATCTTATCGATAACAAGATTTTCCATAAAAATTCTTATCGATAACACGATTTTCTATAGAAATTCCTGTCGATAACAAGATTTCCAATAGATATTCTTGTCGATAACAAGATTGTCTATAGAAATTCTTGTCGATAAAAATATTTTCAATTGAAATTCCTGCCGATAACAAGATTCTCTATAGAAATTCTGGTCGATAAGAAGATTTTCTATAGACATTTTTGTCGATAACAAGTTTTTATATAGACATTCGTTTCGATAACAAGATTTCCTATACAAATACTTGCCGATAACAATATTTCCTATAGAAATTCTTGTCGACAACAATATTTTTTTTTGGAAATTCTTATCGTTAACAAAATTTCTATAGAAATTCTTGTCGATAACAAGAGTTTCTATAGAAATTCTTGGCAATAACAAGATTTTCTATAAAAATTCTTCTCGATAACACTATTTTCTATAGAAATTCTTGTCGATAAGGAGATTTTTCTATAGAAATACTTGTCGATAACAATATTTTCTAAAGAAATATTTGTCGATAACAGTGCTTTCTATTGAAACTCTAGTCGATAACAATATTTTCTATTGAAACTCTAGTCGATAACAATATTTTCTATACTAATTCTTGTCAATAACAAGATTTTCTATTGAAATTCTTGTCGATAATAAGATTTTCTATAGATATTCTCGTCGATAACAAAATTTTCTATAGAAATTCTTGTCGATAGCAAGATTTTCTATAGAAATTCTCGTCGGTAACAATATATTCTATAGAGATTCTCGTCGGTAACAAGATATTCTATAGAAATTCTCGTCGATAACAAAATTTTCTAAGAAATTCTTGTCGATAACAAGATTTTCTATAGAAATTCTTGTCGATAACAAGATTTTCAAAATAAATTTTTGTAGATAACAAGTTTTCCAATAGAAATTCTTATTGAAAACAGTGTTTTCTGTAGAAATTATTGTCGATAACGAAATTCTTGTCAATAACTTGGTTTTCTATAAAAAAAATTGAAAATTTGTGTCGATAATTAGTTTTTCTGTTCACATATCAAATATAAAATACTTTTTTATAATAATTTCATATATACTCACACATCAACCGAATGGGATATCTCAAAATTGTCATTATCTTCACTGCAATATAGACGTCATTATTAAAACGGGACACAAAGCAAATAGTCATAGATAAAAGAGAAATGTTAAATTGATATGAGAAGAAAAATAGACACAAAATAAGAATAATAAAATGATATGAGTCATTTAAATTAGCATTCAAAAGCTATTCAATAAAAACTTTAAATCCATATGGACACAAATCAATTCGCCGGTCAATTCATTTGGAATTACATTTTATAAAAGGCAGCCAGATCGGCAGACAGACACCATATCGCTGCATAAGGTGATCGATGTCACAAACCACAAACAAGGAAAACGAAACCAAATGTCTGGGATGACGTATCAACTGTGAGATGACGACATGAGTTGTATGGCCATCCATCTATCCATTCATCCATGGGTAAATCAGTTAATGGTAATGTGGGATTAGTCACCACTGTTGTCGATCAGTTTTGTTTTTTTTTTTTGTTTGTAAATTTATACGGGTATTTCCCAATAAAGAAATAACAGTCTCTTTGCCATTCTCTTAGACGACCTCACAACGCACCACGCAATTTGTGACCGCGTAGCATCAATTGTTGATTGTATCATAAATACAAGAACAAATTACTTAATTAGACGTTGTCAATTGTGTTGTGTTCCCTTGTGGTTCTTGTTAATGAGGTTTATTGACATTAATTGTTTAAGTATGCAGCCAATAGTGCGTTCTGTTATGTTGTCTTTTTATCACAATTTTGTCATAGAAATGTTTTTCAGCGACAAGATTTTCTATAGGAAATCTTGTTATCGAGGAACATTTCTATAGAAAACTTGCTATCGACAAGAAATTCTTTAGAAAATTTTGTTATCGAAAAGAATTTCTACAGAAAATTTTATTATCGATAAGAATTTTTATAGAAAATAGTGTTATCGAAAAAAAATTAAACAAAATATTGTTATTGACATAAATTTTTATAGAAAATCTTGCTATCGACAAAAATTTCTATAGAAAATCTTGTTGTCGACCAGAATATCTGCAGAGAATCTTGTTATCGGCAGGAATTTCAATTGAAATTATTGTTATCGACAAGAATTTCTACAGAAAATCTTGTTATCGACAAGAATTTCTACAGAAAATTGTTATCGACGAGAATTTCTATATGAAATCTTGTTATCAACAGGAATTTCTATAGAAAATAGTGTTATCGACAAGAATTTCTATAGAAAATAGTGTTATCGACAAGAATTTCTATAGAAAATAGTGTTATCAAAAAAAAATTAAACAAAATATTGTTATTGACATAAATTTTTATAGAAAATCTTGCTATCGACAAAAATTTCTATAGAAAATCTTGTTGTCGACCAGAATATCTGCAGAGAATCTTGTTATCGGCAGGAATTTCAATTGAAATTATTGTTATCGACAAGAATTTCTACAGAAAATTTTGTTATCGACAAGAATTTCTACAGAAAATCTTGTTATCGACAAGAATTTCTATAGAAAATCTTGTTATAGACAAGAATTTTTTTGGAAAATCTTGTTATCGACGAGAATTTCTATATGAAATCTTGTTATCAACAGGAATTTCTATAGAAAATAGTGTTATCGACAAGAGTTTCTATAGAAAATAGTGTTATCGACAAGAATTTCTATAGAAAATAGTGTTATCGACAAGAATTTCTATAGAAAATAGTGTTATCAACAAGAATTTCTATAGAAAATCTTGTTATCCTCAAGAATTTCTATAGAAAATCTTGTTATCGACAAGAATATCTATAGAAAATCTTGTTAGAATTTCTATAGAAAATCTTGTTATCGACAAGAATTTCGATAGAAAATCTTGTTATCAACAAGAATTTCTATAGAAAATCTTGTTATCGACAAGTATTTCTATAGAAAATCTTGTTATCGACAAGAATTTCTATAGAAAATCTTGTTATCGACAAGAATTTCTATAGAAAATCTTGTTATCAACAAGAATTTCTATAGAAAATCTTGTTATCGACAAGAATTTCTATAGAAAATCTTGTTATCGACAAGAATTTCTATAGAAAATCTTGTTATCGACAAGAATTTCTATAGAAAATCTTGTTATCGACAAAAAATTCTATTGAAAATCTTGGTATTGACAAGAATTTCTATAGAAAAATTAGTTATCGACATGAATTTCTGTAGAAAATTTTGTTATCGAAAATGATTTCCATAAAAATCTTGTTATCGACAAAAATTTCGATAGAAAATCTTGTTATCGACAAGAAAATCTTGTTATCGACAAGAATTTCTATAGAAAATCTTGTTATCGAAAAGAATTTCTATAGAACATCTTGTTATCGACATATATTTTTATAGAAAATCTTGATATCGAGAAGTATTTCTATAGAAAATCTTGTTATCGATAAGAATTTCTATAGAAAATCTTGTTAGAATTTCTATAGAAAATCTTGTTATCGACAAGAATTTCGATAGAAAATCTTGTTATCGATAAGAATTTCTATAGAAAATCTTGTTATCGACAAAAATTTCTATAGAAAATCTTGTTATCGACAAGAATTTCTATAGAAAATTTTGTTATCGACATGGATTTCTATATAAAATTTTGTTATCGACAAGAATTTCTTTAGAAAATCTTGTTATCGACAAGAATTTCTATAGAAAATCTTGTTATCGACATATATTTTTATAGAAAATCTTGATATCGAGAAGTATTTCTATAGAAAATCTTGTTATCGACAAAAATTTCTATAGAAAATCTTGTTATCGACAAGAATTTCTATAGAAAATCTTGTTATCGACAAGAATTTCTATAGAAAATCTTGTTATCGGCAAGAATTTCTATAGAAAATCTTGTTATCGAAAAGAATTTCTATAGAAAATCTTGTTATCGAAAAGAATTTCTATAGAAAATCTTGTTATCCATAAGAATTTTTAAAGAAAATCTTGTTATCGACAAAAATTGCTATAGCAAATCTTGCTGTGGCCAAGAATTTCCATATAAAAATTCTGAAATTTAAGTTTTAATAATTAAAGGGATAGAAAACCTTTAATATTTAATCGAAAACATTATCATCCTTTTTCTTCCAGAGTTATTGCCGAAAAAATTGCACCACCCAAAGAATTCTCACTGCTGTCCCGCACTGCCGACTCGGATCAGAAGGCATGGCGTAAACGACAAATTGCCTATAAATTGTCTAAACGTGGAACCGTTACACATGCAGTTACAGACATCATTTTATGTTCGAAATTGAAAATTGCTCCAGACGGGTTCAAGCTGGCGGGGTAAGGACGAGACTAGATGTGATTTCAATCAAACAATTAATAACAATATTATTGTTGTTGTTTTTACAGTGATATAAATGGTATATTAATTTGTTATAAAACTGGTGCCATACCCGCTCGCCTCCCACCACCGGTTCCAGGCTTGACACCAGCCCAAACCAATGGAGGTGGCGGCTCTGAAGTGGAAAAAGCTTTAAATCGTTTAAACCTAAATAATGGCTCTAGAAATCCTAAACAACCTCTGCCGCCAGTGCCCAATGCCGAGGAACATGATTATGAAGAAATTCAACAGTCGTATCAAATCAATTCACCACTGAGACCTGCCCCCAGACCGCCAGCAACTCATAGTACATCATCGGGTCATAGCATTGGTACACTGGGTACCTACACCGATGTTGAAGGTGTGCCATTTGTGATTAATCCTCTACTGAAATCAAATAAGCAAAATGAGGTATGGAGAAATGTGAAGATTTGAAAAAATGTTTTCTCTAATGTTTTTCTTTTTTTTATTATTTCAGCTCTCAACACTGCCACAACTCAGCGATTTTGCATTGAAAAAAGATCTTGACTATGATTTCCAATTGGAAAGACAAACACTGTGTGCCATGAAATCATCGGCTTCCAAAAATCCATTTTTTAAATAAACCCTTCCCCCGATTTGAGACTTTGCAAAAGAATCAATTACCAATAAATTAGACAACAAAATGTAGAAAGAGTTTGAATGAAGAAAACCGATTCTGTTCGTCTAGAATATCATATATATTTTCAAAACATATTATACTTACATATATACATACATACTGTACGTATGCCTACACCTCCATCTTTATACGAATTGTTTAATATTCTATATAATTGTAATCATTTGTAAATTCCTTAATTTTTAGATAATTCTTAGTTTATATATCTATTTTTTCAATAGTTTAGAAATAGTTTTAAATATATTTTCAAATTTATAATTGTATTTAGAAGTGCTTTACACTACTTTGTGATATCATCAATGAAACATTTTGATAATGAAAAATTCAAGGGAAAAAAAAGAAAATTTGGCGAAAGAGAAGAATACAATTTATTAAAAAAACAAGCAATATTTAGTGATTGGATTTTATAGAAAAATGTAACAAATACCTGAAAAACATTGAAGACCTGATTTCAAGGGCTTGTACGGGTGTTTTTATACCCTCCACCATAGTATTGAGGATATATTAAGTTTGTCATTCCGTTTGTAACACCTCGAAATATACATTTTAGACCCCACGAAGTTTATATATTCTTGATCAGCATAAAATTCTATGTCGATTTAGCGATGTCCGTACGTCTGTCCGTGTGTGGAAAACACTCTAGCTTCCGAACGAAATGAAGTAGATTGATAAAATTTTACTCAAACGTATATTATGTCTGCAGGACTTTTTGTATTGAAAATGGGCCATGTAGGTCTACGTTTTGGTATAGCCCCCATATGACGGTACCTCCCAATATTCGGTATTTTAATTATTTTAGCGACATTATTCGCCGGAATTGTTTCAAATTTGGTATTTGAAGTTCTATATAGATACTGCAGCCTAAGACTGAAAATTGTCTGTGCAGGTCTACGTCTTCGTATATCCCCCATATAACGATACCTCCCGATATTCGGTATTTTGATGATTTAAGCGACAATATTCATCGGAATTATTTCAAATTTGGTATTTGATGTTCGTAATGGATGCTACAGCCTATGACAGGAGATTGTCTGTGCAGGTCCTCGTCTTCGTATATCCCCCATATTACGGTACCTCCCGATATTCGGTATTTTGATGATTTTGGCGACATTATTCACCGGATTTCTTTCAAATTTGGCATTTGAAGTTCGTAATAGATGTTACAGCCTAAGACTGAAAATTGTCTGTGCAGGACCACGTCTTCGTATAGCTCCACATAACGGTACCTCGCGATATTCGGTATTTTGGTGATTTTGGCGACATTATTCACGGGAATTGTTTCAAATTTGGCATTCGCAGTTTGTAATGGGCACTACAGGCTAAGACAGAAATTTGTCTGTTCAGGTCCACGTTTTCGTATAGCCCCCATATAACGGTACCTCCCGATATTCGGTATTTTGTTGATTTTAGCGACATTCTTCACCGATTTTTTTAAGTTCCGCATTTGAATATTGTAATGGCTTATGACAAAAGTTACATTCGATATTTTTAAGATTTTATCAGAATTTTTAATGATTTTATGGTTTTTGAGAATTGCCAAATACGTTCCAAATGGTGGAGGGTATTCAATATTCGGCCCGGCCCAACTTACAGCTTTTTTATTGGATGTTTGTTAATTTGAAAATAAGAGGTGAAAATTATTTTCTTATAAATGTTTTCATGTTTTTTTTTTTTTTTTTGAACATAACTTTCGTTTATAAAACGAATTCAGTTCAAATTTTCAGTGAATAAAAATTCAGTCCCCAGAGTTTTCAAATTGCATTAACACACAGAATCAGGTCCCAAAAATTAACTTAAGATCATAGTGTGGTTTTCTTTTCCTTTCAAATTGACGAACAATGAGAATCTTTCAAATTGATGAACAATTTCAAATATTACTTATCTTGCTTTAATAAATTGATTTGCCAAACTATATTTTTTCCGATAAAATCCAAACAGCTAACATTATTTATTTAATCAAATGCAAATTGTGCCCTAATAATTTTCAAAATAAAATACAAATTGTGCCCTAATAATTTTCAAAATAAAATGCCTCTCAAATTTTCTTAAAAGAGGCACCTTCTTACAAATTTTACATTGTATTTAATAGGTTAAGAAGAAGAGTGGACATAATGTCTTATCTTCATAAAATATGTACGAAAAGTCCCTATATTATAAGCAAGTGTTTATATTTCACAAATGTATTTTTCTTTTTATGTGGCATTAAAATGTTATATTTAAAAAGATTATATTTAAGTTAGTATACCTTCGTAAAGTAGTAAAATACAAAAATTACAAAAAGTTATTGAATGATTTTTTATGTTTTCCTTCCCACTCTGAATCTGCAAATAAGAAAAATTCGTGTTATAACGCTATATGTTACACCAGATAGGGAAACGAAATGTTCTACGAAATTAACAAAAGTTAAAACTGAGAACATGTTTCACCACCTGTAATTTTGATGTTGGCGTGATTACAATTTCCATATTTTTTAGAATTTAACTTTTACTCCAAAAACTTATGTCTTAAAATGTATTTTTTTTTTTTTTTGAATAGTTACAAGTTCTATAAACCCTATATAGGACCAAGGTTATAAAAAAACGAACGATTGCACCTCGATATAAGTTTTCAGCAGTCAGCTATACTTTGTTCCAAGAATTTTAAGAATGCAGAATGATGCTTCTTTATGAATGGTAATTTTTTTTTTAAAATATTAAAATATTTTGTGATTTGACACAATTGTAATTGTCTGTTGAAGCCAATATTTAACCCACTTAATTTGACATTTTGGTTAGGTGAACTCTCACTTTTCAAGAAATAATAACTTTCCCTACTGAATTAAAGTATTCCGAAGGTTTCCGATGAATTTTCTAATCATATTCTTAGTAGATGTAAACGCAAAAACTCCAACATAAATCTACTATTTCTTCTAAACTCAGATAACCGTACCGTATTGAAACGAGGTGCTTGTAATAATAAGACATCTGGTTCTCGTGGAATTAATATTCGCCATAGATAATTTGTGATTTTAAAATCATATTCTCTTTAAAGAAGTGGGATTTTGCAATATGCCCATATACAGGGTGAAATAATTTTATTGAATGAAAGCAAAAATGTCGGAAATAGCATCAAATTTTAGAATAAATTAAGATGTGTTCGAATTGGTCATCTATGGCACGAATTATGGCCTTCAAACGGCCAATAAAACCGTCACACGCTGCACGAATGTTGCTCTGCGGTATTTTAGCCCATTCCCGGCAAAGCGCTTGCTTGAGGTGATCGACACTGTGGTATTTTTTAGTGCCAACAAAATACAGTGTGAGATAAAAAACTGCAAAAAAGTCAAACGCCATAATTTTAAAATTTTATTAAATTATGGCAAAAAATGTCGGAAATAGCATCAAATTTTAAAATAAATTTAGATTTGTTCGAATTGGTCATCTATGGAAAGCAAGGTTGGCACTAAAAAATATCAAAGTGTCGATCACCTCAAGCAAGCGCTTCGCCGGGAATAGGCCAAAATGCCGCAGAGGAACATTCGGGCGGCGTGTGACGGTTTCATTGGCCGTTTGAAGGCCATAATTCGTGCCAAAGGTGACAAATTCGAACAAATCTAAACTTATTCTAAAATTTGATGCTTTTTCGGACATTTTTTGCTTTCATTCAATAAAATTTAAGAAAATGTAAAAATTATGGCGTTTGACTTTGTTGCGGTTTTTTACCTTACCCTAAATATGTATAATAAAATCGGCCCCGTTTGACTCTTGACCTTTCTTTACAGGTTTAAAATACATTTGTAATTATCTCAATATAGGGTTTTAAAAACTATTTAAATGTATATAAGTCTTCCTTAAGTAGTGTAAAGCAAATAAATATAGATCGTATAAAAATTACTTGATTGTAATATATAATCGAAAACATTTGATTGATTTCCCTTTACTTTACTTTATTTATTTATCCAAGTTCTTATTTTCATACGACAACCTTCTTTTGTATCCCGTGCCTTTTTCCATACCTTTCTTCTTTTAAAAAGAAAAGAAAAAAATGAATGTTAAAATGTTTTTCATTCGTAAATTGAAATAAAATATCTGTTTATCCGTTATCATTACTATGCAAATATGATTGTAAGGAAAAAATAAGCAATTTTTTTAATTAAAAAAAAAAAAACAATTATCCATATAAAATTATATAAAAAACAAAAAAAAAAACGAGAATAATGTGATCGATTCATGTATGTCATAAAAGTATAATTAATTTTATTTTATATACATTTAAATTATTATAAAGAAGAGGAAATAAAACAGTAATTATATTTACTATAATTTTTAATAAAAAAAAAGAAAACTACATATGTTTCAAATTACATATACATATATTCATATACATAAACAAAAATAGTAATTGTGTTTGGGAGACAAAAAAAAATATAATGAAAATAACTAAAAATAATAAATCAAATAAATTTCAATTTAAGAATGTTTATTTCTCAGAGTTTTTTCTCTTTTTTTTGTTTGGAAATTGGAGTTATTATAGGTTTCTAAATCAGGGAATTGTCTTTTGCCTCAAAGAAGTGTATAGTACATTTTGATCGTGGAGCAATTACCAAGGTAATCTGGTGTAATCATACGATTACATTTTTTTATTGATGTCCATAAATTTTCAAATTTAAATCTTGAAGTTCTTCTAATACTGGCAAGAAATGTTGATTTGTTTCCGATCAAATATTTTGTAATTTTCTCGCCTTTTAGAGGCCTTATAAGTCATGTAAGGTTTGATTATGGAATGGTTGAATTGTGTTTCAAAGTATCATTTTGCTGCAGCTATGACAAAGTATGAAGATCAACAATATCACCGCTTGTTTTGCTATAATACTGGAAGAAGATTATCACTCGAATATTCAGACTTTATTTCATTGTAGGAAATTATCAGCGTAATATGTAGTTTTATACCGAATCATATAGCAGGTGTTGCGAAAAATTTTCAGTCGGTCATTCTGGAGTTTTGATCCCCAAAGACTAACTTAAAATAAAACGTCATTTGAGGACTACACAAAAACTAACAGCACCGTAGATGTTTCCTTAAGATGAAGAGTTTAATATCTCGATTTTTATATGATTAAGCGATTTCGTTCCGAGATTTAATTTTTATTTTTGTTTTTGGAAAAATCTTAATTTTTAAGGTATTTTGAGCCCACAAATGTCAAAAATTTACACAAAAAAATTTCCAATTTTTTTATTTTCCAGAAACCAATGTTCCAAAATTCGAACAGTCAAGTTTACACATATCTAAAGTCTTGAGCATGAAAAACCATGCTTTTCACATTTAGTGTAACGGTTACACACAGGGTGAGATGGAAAAAACTGCAACCAACTTCAGACTGCTGTCATTTCTAAGTCACTCGTCCGATAGCTGTTAAAATTATTCCAGTGACAGCATATTATATTGTTTACAAGCGAACAAAAGCATTTTTGAGATTTTCCAGAAAAAAAGTTATTCGTAATGGAATTCAAGCGTGATAGTTGGATTTCTTTATATTTGGCTGGAAAACCACAAGTGGCTATTGTCAGAGCACTCCAGCATTTAAATGAGAATAAATCGTTTGTGTCTCATACCATCGCTCGTTACCGTGTTACTGGTAGCGTAGCGTAGCCCGACGTCAAGGAAATGTACGGAAGAAAACAGCAACAACAGCGGAGATGGTTCGAAAAGTAAAAGGCGACTTGATCGAAACCCGCGTTGCAGTGGCCGAAAAATGGCTCGTGAGCTGAACATATCGCAATATTCTATTTG